TCGTTTCTCGACTGCATGTTCGTTAGATGAAAAATTAGAAAAAGAGTCAACGTAGTGGTAGCGGAAAGGAACTATAGGGCAACTAGTTATATCATTAAATTATTTTAAAAGTATTGCGTCAGTGGGCCATGGGAACTCCGTTAATTCGAGCTGTAAATTGCTTCGCGCCCTCTTGATGCCTGAGTAAAGCCAATGTTGAAGCCAAAGCTCCTGCTGCAGGCAACCGTTTTTGCAATTCAGTTTGAAAGAGCTTCTTCAGGTCGTTAGGTCTGGAGCTTTGCTCTAAATGACGTCATTATCTGTAGTATACCTCTAGGCGGTAAACTGGCATAGCTGCTCAGAGAAGCGGGCACGCCACGGCGCGGCGGCGCGAGCGTCGGCGAGCAATGCGAGGCCCTCAGGCTCGGGTTCAGGGAATCGCCGCCGGCGGCTGGCAGAGGGTAGAGACGGGGCGGCGAGATGAAATTGTCATCGTCAGGGGCACGTTGCCGTACTCTCTACGATACTTATTACTCTATACGATACTTAAACGGGTCTCTTATAAGATTTTTATTATAAAAATGTAAATTGTTGTTGTTTTTAATGTAATGTTTAACTTATTGTGAATAATGTTTGGTGAATTCGTTTGGAATTCGTTTGCCTATAATGTTTGCATGAAAGCCAAAGAAGTGTTAGTCGCTGACCATATTCTAAAAATTATTTTTGTAATGAAAATAATGTTAATGATGGAAATAGGAATAACAAATTTAGCCTGCAAGTCATTTGCCTCAGGCCTTACACATCGGTTTATTTTGGATTGTTTCATTTGACTCCACAGGACTGGTTATTAGAAATGTAAAAGCAACAATGTAACACGCGCGTGTGCTTACTCATAGAGGTGTCTGAAACAGCAGACGATCAATCTGCAGTAGATTGACACAGTTAAATAAAACGGATCGGTAAATGCAGTATCAAGCTATGGCCACTGTGGAATCCAAAGGGGTTGGAATTTGTTTGCTTTGTCCTTTCGCAATGTCCGAAATTAACAGCTGCCTTTTCATATTTTTTTCGCATAGAAATGAAACTTTACTTTTACCAAAAACAGTTGTTTTACACTGCTCAGCAACACTTAAGGATGGAAATCCAGTCCGAGGAGTTTTTAGAATTTGACGAGCTTTTTGTGGAGCATGAAGCCCCAGCCGTCCAAGATGATATTTCTAGATCCGTCAATGACCTCCGATGGGTTTAAACGAATTGCATCGCATCTCTCCTTTATGCATAGGTGCATGTTTCAGCTCCACAGTTGCTAAATGTTGTGTGAATAACTGATAGAGATGATGACTGCAATCTTCATCCTGTATAATGAGATGTAGGTACTCTTATTGGGCTGTTGTGGCCTTGTCGTGCCCCTTGGCCATTCTATGATGGTAGACTTGGCCATAGGCGCCCCACTTCGAATCAGATATGTCGCATCAAGTGAATCTCAGACCAACACAAATTCAATCCCAACGCATCACTGCATACAAACATTGTCAATTGAAACAAACATCAGCGATCTCAACTCAAGCCAAGCGCCTAGACCACTGATACACCCTCAGAGCACATTTGGCGCGCTTTTTGGCCGCGGGGCGCCGTTTCGAGGAGTGGCTGGGCGGCCCCACAGCACCATTATTATCGAGACTCGCGGCGGCGGCGGCGGCAGCGGCGGTGGCGGCGGCGGGAGCAGGCATTATTGGGCGCGAGCAGCCAAGCGTGATTGGATGGTGGGGCGGCCGAGCGTCGGCCGGTGGGCGGGTCTTAGCAACAATAGCGCGGCAACAGGCCCCGCCCCCGGCCCCGCCCCCTGCGCGGGGAGGTAGGATCCGGCTGCCGGAGCTCTCCGACGGCGGAGCGCGCGACGGAGAGAGGGCGGAGCTGCCGGAGAGAGCAGAGGAGGATCCCAGCCGGTGATCGCTCGGCTCGACCGGCGCACCAAAGCGAATGGAACGCGCCTTGACCCTGAAAATTAAATAGATACCAAATTGGTGGCCGGGCAGTCAGCTGGCCGAGTTAAGCTGAAGGCTGTCGTTTGGGGTATCTGACCGGGCTGGCAATAGGCAGAAGTGGTTAGGTTGGCACCGTTTAGTTGGGATAGGTCTTACGCCGCGACATTCATTTTTCAAAGCTAGGCAATTACATTACCTATAGGCATACGAGTATTACCATCAGTGTGTCCATTAAAAAGAAGTCAAGAGGTAATATCGACATCATACCTTCCTGTCCTATTGGCCGATTGACAGAGCAGGCCAGTAATGGATAAAAGCAATTTTAGTCGGCATTTCAGCCTAAACGTATAACAAACACTACAAACAAGCAGCCTTCGAGTAAGTGTGTGGGACCGGCACTTGGTCTCAATTTCAATTTAAATGCAAGCAATAGCGATATCTCTCATGCTTGAAACTCCACGCAACACTCTGGCGCTAAGCTACGTTTAAGTCCATGACATTTATTTTTTAAGGCCCGTCAGTCCTGTCGGTGTAAGGGATCGTTGCTGGTAAGTAGCGCTGTTACGGAGACAGTCGTGAGCGTCCATGCGTTCTGAGCGGCTTATTCCTGCAACTTAGACCGCTGCAGCGCGTCTAAGTACGCAAATGCTTCCGTGGCAGACCCGTTTCGAGTCCGTGTAACGGTGCACCGCGCTTTTGTCATTCTCTTATGACACCCAGTTGGAGCCGTGCTGCAACCATTTGGGTATATTTCAATGCTGTTTGCTAGATTAATTTCTTACATATTTAATCGTAGTACTTAGATTTAGACGTGTCATATTCATATACTCAAGGAAATTATAAGCTCAATAAAAATACGGTCGCTTCGATGTCAATAAGCTAAAACGTGATCATCGTTAATCTCGTTATATTTAATTTGCAATGCATTTTTTTCTGGTGCAAGGCAATAGCCTGAAATAGGTAAATGCTTGTTCGTCCTCAACGGTTTGACATTTGATTATTTTTATTAACGATCCGCCAGTTGGCCATGCAATGACCTTATTATCACGACTTCAACCACGTTCATCCAGTATCGTGACCGTCAGTGTGGTTTCATCATACTGTTCCGTTTGATTTCGTTTGAAGGTCTGTGACTGATTCTATTCCATCATTCCAGTTTTTGTTCGATGCCATTCCCTGCAATTTTACATATTTTCCTCTTCCAAGTGTTTGCTTTTCCATCGGCTCGGTGCATTTCCTGTCGCATTTTCCGCCCATCAACCACACAGTGCCTCCCTGTATCGGGTCTTCCGAGGGCCGTTTACTCTGTCCGAGGCACTATCTGCGTGTGAGACGCGAGGCCGATGAGGCTTCCCCATTAGTACGGTCCGGCGAGTGTTAATGGGTAATTAGCAGAACAGTACGTAGGTAAGCATGTGAGTCGTGTGTGTATCCACGTTGCCTCCGACGTCAGGAGTTTTTTTCTGTAAATGAGTGTCTGAGCTGTGGTCAGTGGTCGCAGACTGGACGATTTGTGGTCAGATCAAGATTGCGGTACCGGAGATCAGGATATTTACCCGTAGTCTTCTTTGGTAACACTAACATAAGGTATCTTGAAATTATGGTCTTTTGAGCTGTGTAGGTATATATTAAGCATATATTTTACAGAATTCTTACTGGTTTATTTGTGAACTTGAGGCATAGCATGACGCTTAAATTCACTAAAAGATCAATAACAAGCCTCGCTCGGTGAACACTGTTAGAAACTCGATGATTCAGTGTGCAATGAGCTGAACGTATCAAAAGTCATCATTATCCTCATGCCTCAGCTCAAATCCGAATCAAACGGCCACTGGGTCGGTCAGTGGGTCAATCGGTCCAATCGGTCCAATTGGTCCGACTGGCCCGGTCGGTGCGGTCCGTGTCGACGCGTGGTGACGCGAGCCACCCGTCCCCGCTCGCACGCCGGCATGCATGGGCGCAGCTCAGTGCGTGTTCAAAACGCCGTGAAATCGCGATATTGAAGCCTGGCTGGCGTGGCAGGCGGCTGAATGACGCTATTGAACCCGCTGTCGGCCGGACGGCGCCCGTGTCACCGGCTGGTGACAGCACGTGTCACCGACTGGTGACACCGCGTGTCAGTGTGTCACAACACCGCCCACCGGCTGGAGGTGAGCGAACGGTAAATGAAAATATCGATCGCTAGATGAGACGAGAATGCCGTTTAAAGCCGGTTGGATGTGTTAATAAGATGATGGATCGTTTCGATCGGTAGTCGGTACCAAGCCCATTGCAGGTTACCTATGCTACCCATGCAATGTTAGCCACATAGTTTTGGTGACAGGAATGACAGGATGTGGGCTCAACTACCGACAACCAGACGACAAATCTTATTCTGCAATGATTTGGGAATTCAGGATGCTGCTGTTCTCACGTAATAACATCTGCATCATTATCAAGTAACTTCCCAGCCACTCGATTTTTGGTGTTTCATCCCACACTCTATCCATCTTTTCCTGTCTCTCCCCACCCTATCGTCGCCTTTTTCACCGAGCGGCGGAACATCGCCCGCGGCGCCACACAAAGCCACTCCGACGCCGGCCGAAGGCCCTCTCATGGACTCATTTTGCTCGATTTTCGCCGGCACATCACACGAACCATTAACCAGCGCTTTATCAAAGTCAACACGGCTCTCCATACTTGATAATGAGAATTTCATCGATTAAGCGGTGTCCATTTCTCATCCGACTGACAGAGATTTGTTGAGGTGGCGGACGGTGGCGGCGACTGGAGGTCTCCCTCGCCTGTCCCCGCCCCGTCCCACCCAGGGCACGAGCTCGCTCGCCCCAACTGCAGGCCTAATCCATCGCCACGCTGCTCATTCAACAATAAAATACACCGAATTAGCATATAAATGGAGAACGAGTGGTGTCACAAAGAGAAGATTGGCAGCCGGCCTGTCGACAGTAGGCGATGATATGCCGACAAAAATCGCCCTGGAATATTCGCTCTTCCAGCGATTTTCCGCGGCCTGATTGGGTCGATAAACACAGAGAGTAGCTCATCACAGATATTTATTGGACTCGAAGCGAACGCCATTATATATGCATATATGCTTAAAGAAATATTAACGTTGGAATGGTAGACACAGTACCTTCCCGGCAGTCACATTCAAAGCCGGCCCAGCCCAGTCTCGGCCACACATACGTAGTACTTCTCTGTCTTGGCTGCAACGTTCCCCTCAGCACCCCATACACGTCTGCCCCCGTGGGAGTCTGTACCCAAAGCATCTCATCTAGACAACATGACGAAAGGCCCGAACGGGCCAGCCGTCGATAAAACACCGCAACAGAGGTGGCAAACAAATCGAAATGACCAGCGGCCGCGGGCGGCTGCTCCGTCCGCGCGGCAGTGGAAACTGCTCAGCCGCTGCAGTCGGCGGCGCCCATTCAACACGACTCGCGGAGACCCCGCGCCCCAGCGTTCATTCTCTATCCCCTGCCGCCCGTCCTTGAGCAGCATATCTTTGGTTCACTGCGGCCTCCTTCTGCCGCGTAACAACACTCTCCTCGGTAACAGGGCAACGCCAGCGGCGGCGAAGGCGGCTCCGCTTCCACCCGCGCGCCCCGGCAACATTTGTACAGTCGACTGGATGACTACTGACTAGCGTATTCAGCTCGATACGTCGCCCGGCTGTCGGGCGAACTGGCCGGGCCGCGGTTGGCACGTCAACTTCAGCTTGGCCCCGCAACCGCTAGATGTCACTAGAAGGTGCCGATCTCGCGGCTCAGCGTGGGTCAGTCGGCAAGCGGCGGCGGCCGGTCGTCAGCCGGCGCCGCCGCCACTGCGGGGGTTGTGATCTGGTTCACAGAGTGGCTGCGCGCGTGCGTGGCGGCGGCGGCCGGCCGGACGATCTGCTGAGCCGACTGCGAGCGGTGGTGACCGCTGAGCGCCAGTTTGGAGTCGTCCGACTGGTTCAGCAGCGCCCGCTCCCGGATGGCCAGCTGGTAGGCCACCTCGAACGCCTGGCCCAGCGTCAGAATTATCTCCGTGGCCAAGTCCTGGGAGGAAACAGACAGAATCAGTTACGATCGTCCAACACACATTAGATGCGATTGGTGCACGAAAAACGACAACCCCGGTCGACCAGACGAAAACCAAAATAAAAAACAACATTCAACATAATTTAAAGACAACACAAATGAATCAGTATCAGACAAGAATAGCAGGAAAGCTCCTCTGACCTAAATGCAGCGTGAAATCAGAATTACAACGGCAACCCTACTGCAAAACATCTGTCCAAACTTCCAAGGCTAAACCCTAAGACCTGCACTTCCAGACCAGTGACCACCCTCTTCCTATCTTCATCACCAGGGTCTTCCCAACCGCCGCCCTCTCACCATGGTCTGCACGCGGAACACGTGACAGTAGTGGCAGCGCGTGTCCAGGTCCTTGGTGATGTAGGCAAAGTGGGAGAGGTCGTCGGCGTCCTGGCACGCGCAGTGGATGTTCCGGATCTCGTGTTCACACACCAGTTTCTGCGGGATCAGAGCGCAAGTGTGAGCCGGTGGGAGCAGCAGAACGGACCGAACTGGTGGTACTCGGCCGGGGAGGGTACCAGGGGGCGCTGCCTGCGTCGGGACCAGCGGGAATACGATAGGAGGGAACAGTTTCAGTTTCTAAAATATCATTATCAATGTGGTAAGTTCCTTTCAATGATCGTCAGCATGTGCCTGGATGGAAAGTTACATGAAACAAAAGTTGGTTATGTTCGATGATCATGAACAAGCCACCAGACAATCCTACTGATACAACACTGCATTCAAAACAGAAGCCATAACGTCGACCAACCAGCGTTTACCAATGCGGCACTGCCTTCTCATCCCTCTAGCCACTCCTTTTGTCTCATTAAGCAGTCTTATTCTTCCTCCCAAACCATACCCAAACACGTCATCCCACCTCACTTATCAACTCCTCTCACTTCCCATCTGATCACCTTCTCTCACCCCCCCTTCTCACCTGGGTGTGAGCGTCCAGGAAGCGGACGCCAGAGTGTGAGATGGAGAGGACGATTCGGGGCACCTTCCGCATCTGGCTGCTGGTCTTCTTCAGCTTCTGGATGCTCTTGCGGGTGGACTCGGTGCCCCGTACCTCCTTGACCAGAGTCGATCCCAGGTACTCGGCGATGTACCTGACGAACGATAAAGGTCGCAAGATTAGACACGGCAAGATTAGACATGGGGTCTACGGGTATGCTTTGGTTACATGAGCATTAGTACCGGGCTTCTCAAAGAAGTTGGACGATTTTATAACTAACGTATTGAAGGGTGTATCAGTGTAATAAAACATAATTGGGTATCACCTAAAAGCCTCATCAAATACATTTCGTTTGAGGGGATTTCGATCCTCGGCAGTCGCCTTTCTAAGCCGCGCCGAGGTCATGTTCGAGATGATTCCCTTTTTGCTCGATGCACAGTTTAGCCCGGCGCAGCGCGACCTCTGCTGCAGCAAGACCCACGGAAAGCTGCAGACGGCACACCGCTGACTTCACTACATCCTTATGATCTTCGGAACTTTTTGGGTGGTTTCGGTACACCTAGAACTTGAGGTGGTCCTATAGGAAAAAGTCCGGTGGGGTTACGTTCGGAGAATTCGCCGACCACGGGCGTGTCTCGAACCTCGAGATCACGCGCTGCCCGAAGCGCTCCTACAGCCTCTTACGGTTTTCTTTAGCGGCATTGGCGTGGCACCGTCTTGCTGGAACCATTGGATCTTAACCCTCGCCCGCACATGGGGGGGGGGGGGGGTTGCCACCCCCCAGGCAGTCTTTCTGCTCTGCACTCAACATTTTTAGAGCTAGAAGGCTGATTTTTCGTATAGCTGCTCGTCTATCCTTTCTTGATGTCCACTGAAAATTTCAAGTTTCTGTGATTTTTGGTTTCGGAAATATGACCTTGTTTTTCAGGTCATGCCATGACCAAAATGGCCAATTCTCAACATCTTGCGTTTGCCATGGGCCTTGTGAGCTTTTGACACCCTGATTTCGGCCTTTTTTGCCAGTCTTACCTCCCACCTATCATGGAACATGTTGTTCGACGATGTACAGGGGTCAAGGTCAGGGTCAAGGTCAACCTAGGTCATCTAAGATAATTTCGTTTTAGGCAAGCTGAATTTACTTTTTGTGAAGTTTTTTGACTGCATTTTTGGTAAAAGCTTCTCAGATCATGATTTCATGTGATATGGACCCAAAAACAATCGGTGCACACATCAGTATACACACAGACACACACAGACATACAAACACATATAATTGACCTTGACCTAACTTGACCTGAAATGACCTCAGCAGCAAAATTCTGGTCGGATAGTGTGACAAAGAGGTTCTAGCTGGCTTGGCACCAGAAAACAGCATCGTCATCGGTATTTGATAAGCAGCGCACTTGATATCCAACGGTGACCCAAAACAGCAACATTTTTTAGTTTGACCTGACCTGGAAGGTCAATGACTGACCTGAGAAGGTAAAACTGGGTATCATTAGATTCGTCTCTTCCCAAAGAATCTTTTTGGTCTTTACTGCTAAGCTCTATCTCCAACAGGAACGAAATGGCGCCCCCCCCCCCCCATGTGCGTTCTAGGATGGGAAAATGGCATGTGCGGGCGAGGGTTAAGCGTTTCCGGATCTCTGCTCATCCTGATATTGCAGAACCCTCCAAAACGTCGCCAGAGCCACCCGATATCGCTGACCATTGACAGTCTGAGTAGCGCATCTCTCACACGAGTGATGTTCGCCGTGAGCCTTTGATTGGGTTTATGGCCGCCGCTGTGTTCCTTGAATTGCGTGAACCTATTGTTAACCCTCGCCCGTAAACGGCGATCTGCCACCTTCACCCATGCAGGGGGGGGGGGGGGTTGGTGCGACCCCCCCCTTGGCGTTTGAAAACGGAGCGTCGTAGAGCTTAGCGGAAAAGACCAACGGATTGCTCTCGCCGAGATCTCGCGATTGGTGGTATATTTTTTGGTCCTAGGTCAACATTTGACCTACTTTTGACCGGTCAAAGGTCAAATTTTCGGAAAATAGACTTTTTTCAACTTTCCGCGGCGATTGCGGCAAAACGGTGGGAGATATCGACTTGAAACCTTCACTATCGTGTTCCTTGATCAATTCTCTATCGTTTGGTATGTATTTCGTTTCCCTAGCTCTAAAAATGGCGCGTTGGGAGCGCCGGAAGTCGGCAAGGTCACAGTCGGCGGCAGAAATTCGAAAAATCAAAATTTAAATTTTTGAAATCTGATTGTATTTTTGGATTTGGGAGGTCCATTTGCTCCCTATAGAAGCTAATATTGCTGCATATTCCCATTGAGGTGACAAGAATTAGCAAAATAGTGGTTCGGGCGCTTTTCAAAAATAGTACCGGACGCTGTTCCTCTTGTGACGTCATAGCTCCGTGACCTGACCTGACCCGGTCAAGTTTCTTATACCATATGATAGCCAATACTTGCCCCAACATGCATGGGAAGTTTCATCACGATCCATCAACCGATGTCCGTACCACCGGCAGGAAACCTCGGGCGTTGGCACTCAGTTTGTGAAAATCCGGCCGGAGGCTGTTCCCTTTGTGACGTCATAACTCCGTGACCTGACATGACCCGGTCAAATTTTTTTTATCAAAAGATGCGCAAGGTTTGCCTTATAAGGTACCCAAAATTTGGCGGCGCTGCGCGCCGCCGTTTTTGCACTATTTCCGAAAAGCCTCAGGGGGGGGGGGTGCACCAACCCCCCCTACATGGGCGAGGGTTAACACTTCCTCGAGCCAGAAACTTGTCAACAATGTGGAAAATTGTTTTTCAAGATGTTGCTCTCTTTGCCCTAAAGTGTTTGCGGATCTTCCGTGGTGTCGAACCGACCGACTTAGTCTGGGAAAGCATAATTTCACGAGTTTTGCTTTTACTTCCTAAGACCACGGCTTTGTTTTTTCACGGTGACTTGTTTTTTAAGCTCAAACCATGGTGTCATATAAATCTACGAAAAATTCTCCGTTTTTTTCTCCGTTTTTCCACGTGCATTGATTTTACTTAAATGTTGTTAGGGGTCCTCTATTCGCAAAAGAAATCCGTCTAACTTTTTTGAGAAGCCCGGTACATGAGCATATTAGCGATAACATTATACCATCACCTTCAACGGAGTATTTACATGGACAGCCCAGGCAGCTGTCGTTAGCTCATCGCCAAGGCTCTCATTTCTCATGGCAGTGTCCAATATCCCTCCAAATTCAGTCTTGTACAATTGTAACCTCTGCCCAGACCTTAACCAGTAACCACCTCCCCCACATAGTGGTCCCGGTCACACCACACTCACTGTATGCTGGAGTTAACCAGATGATGCGGCTCATGGCGCCACTGGGTGGCCATTACGGCCGGTACCCCCACCACCAGCTGTGAGGGGTCGCGGATCTTCAGAGCTTCCTGTTGCCGCCGCAGCGTGTCGCCACCGGCGCCGTCCTCGACCGCCGTCCGGTCCTCGCCGCTGCCACTGCTGGAGCCTGAGACACGGTGAAAGGGAACAGTGTTATACAATGGTACAGGGCTATAACTGGTAGCTGCTGTACTACCAATTAAGAAATGCATGGTGTAGTCGAGAGGTGGGACTAGGCATATATTGAAGCATGGAGGCAGACTAAACTTGTACTGAAGGAAAATAGTAATACCAACCTCTTCCAGTAAAAATGCATCGTTTCAGTGCAGCACTGCAACGACCAGCAGACACGGCAGACGAATCTCATGAATCTCCAACTAATTATCGCTTGAAAGAAATACTCACAAAGTCTGCCCAAAGGCAGTGGCAAGCTAGCACTAAAATATAAAAAGTAAAAAGCTCCACACTCGCTATCTATAGCTCTGTACTCACCTCTTCCCCGCCGTCTGCTGGGTTTGGCCGGCGGCGGAGGCGGCGGCGTCTTGCCGTGACCGTTGGTCCTCTCCGCGCCCCTTCGCTCCTGTGACCCTCGCTCCTGTGAGGCACGCTCCTGTGAGACGCGCTCCTGTGAGCTGCGGTCGGGTGACGGCCGCGGCAGAGTGTAGTCCTTGAACAGAGATTCCTCCTGGTCTCGGTCGCGTTCGTCCGTTATCGGTAGGTCTTCCAGGTCCGTCTGAAGCCGCGCCAGTTTTGAGTCCTGGCGGCGGGAGAAAAAGCTTGTTATGGAAAAGAGCTAGCTAGCTAATAAGCTAGTCGTATGTGGTAAAACTCATTGCATTCTATTGCACGCGTTCAGCATGATAATACTCTGTGGTACTATGCTAATCAATTTATCAATGTTGAACATCGTTGACAGAAGCCTCGTCAAAAGAAAGGAAAACACCCATCGAGAACAAATTACATCGGAGAGCCAGGCCCCATCAGCACCTCATTTCTCGACCTTGTCAAGGCCAGCTATATCGTCCAGCACATGGCCTCGCGGGCGCCACTCCAACCCAAACAGCCCCCGGGACGAGTGAAGTCGTGTTTGACAGGGCGCCGCCGGCGGGCCGCCACGCGTCCATTCGGCCCATTCGTCATGATGGTAAAACAAATACCAACAGGGTCGGTGTCACGCCAAATCACCGTTCCGCCGCCAAAGTCCTCCAGCGCGCTGCCAAACGCGGTCGGAGGGACAGACTTCAAAGGCGACTTCAAATAAACAGAGTCGCCTGCGTGCAGAGTAATTACCGTCTGCCAGGCTTCCGGCAGATCGTAACGATTATGATCGTGAGTGCAGAGATATGAACATCTGCAGGGTACTAGGATGAGGTCCTCTTCTCGCTTTACCAGGGTATGGAACTCACCACTATGAAACTACTCACGAGGCACTGGCCCCCGCCTTCCCACTATCCGTTGCACCGCCTGTCACGAAGCTGGCAGCCGCCCCGTACACACGCGGAGCTGTATTGTTTCAGACGCCGAGGTCAAACAAGCCGTCCATCCGTAAGCCCGACAGCGACTCGGTAGGGTGGTGGGGATCGGGAGAGAGCGCCAGGAGCAGTCAGCTGGGATAGGGAGGGAGAGAGGAAGGGAACTTCAGTAGCTGATACGGAGCTGGAGATTCCGCCGCATTAATTGAGATAAATTGACGGAGCCGTGCAGTGTGCACCCATCAACTGTCACTAAACTGGTAATAAAAATAAATGATGCCAGCCGGTAACGCCTTCATATCTCTCAACGTGATACCTACTGCTCTCATCTAGTTAAGAAAGGACGACGAGAAATCAAGCCCACATCACACAGGACCCACGGCCTCAAAATACCCTAATTCTCTGATCGACTACCAACCCGACCCGTGCGGCCACAGGTACTCACCAGATCGCTCAGCTCTGCGCCGGGGTCGGCTCCCTGTCTCTCCGTCGGCGCCTCCTTCTCCTCCGTCGGCCTCAGCGAGAGCAGCATCCGCTTCAGGTGTCCGGGCTTCGTCACTTCCAGCACGGTCACCAGCTCCATCTCCCACACCTTTCTCACCCGCTGCATGTCCGTGTACAGACTCCGACTGAACACATCTGAATACTGTTCGAGCCGCAGAGCCCGCAGCCAGCCGGGTACCGAATCAGCAGCGGCCGCCAGCTGGCGAGCGCGACTTATGCCGTCAGGTAGCTGGACGGCGGCGCTCAGTAAGGTAGCACGGGCCTCTGGCTCGTCCACTCCCGCCTGGAGGAGGTCTGACTCGTCCAGCACGCCGCGGACGAACTCTAAGTCGTCATAGCCGAGCTCGAGGAGGCGCAATTCGTACCGGGCCAGGCCCAGGGTGCGGAGAAGTGAGGAGATGCCGCCGCCGGCCGACGCGCGATTCTCCTGGGCTGAAATGAACGTCGGGTAGCAGTCAGAACAGCGCGGGGCACGGCCGGTCTCAGTGACAGTCGAGCGGCGTGGAAAACGATCTGACGAGGGGACGAGTACAAATCAAAGTTGTATCTCAACACTTTTTTTAAAAGAAAGATCCGATCTAGCATGAATCATTTATTTATAATCAGACGAATTTAAAAAGCCGAGTTGACACGTGCAGACACGGCATGCAACTCGTCTAGGCGACAGCACATTCATACAGGAAATTTGTGCGGTTCATGCAGGCGTTGCGCACAATTCATGCAGGCGAAGGCACAATTCATGCAGGTGGTGCGTATGTACAATACATGCATGATGCAGCTGGTGCAGAATCTACGTGCAGGCAACTGCACACACACACGCACTGAAGACCATACAAAGTTGCATGCACCGAGATAGGAGTTAGTAGTGCTAATCAGCCAACGACGCTTAGAGAAGCATAGCATACAATGCGTACAGCAATCAGCATACATCATACAGTGCGAGCAAGCACAAACCAAATTTCGAAAAAAATTCAACCAATACAAGACCTCCTACAAGCTACTTTATCGCCTGCATTCGTCTGAACGCCGTCGCACCAAAAGCTCGCTCCTCCCAACATTCTGACTCGCACGCCTCCACGCCGTATGACAGAGTCCTGGCACAGTCCCTGGGGCCTCTCCCATGTCAAATCACACCAGACACCGACCTAATATCCCTGGCTGGGAGCGTCGTACACACACCAGCTCATACATCAGACCGGGCCGGACCTTCGGTGGCGATCGTCCTCAATAATCACCGCCACTCAATCGCAGTGACGGCCGCCATTCAGCTCTAAATAGCGCCAGTAGAGCGTCATTGTCACGCGTCTGTCCGCCTTTTGTCAGCCAATCATAGTCGGTGAGAGCAGCCACAAGTACAGGGTGTCACCGAACAAATGCGGCCATCTGCAGAATTTTACAGGGAAAATTCCCAAGGTGGCGATAAATCACACGGCTCGCTCACGGTGGAGAGGGTGGCTTGTTCGCCAGGTTCTCACACCTAGCTATTGTGGCTTTCTATGGCCGAACACCGTTAGAAGTGAGGTGTGAGCCATGTCTGACCCTCCGCGCCAGCTCGGAACAAGGTCAAGTAATTTCCACCACATTATTACCAGTCTCAAGCTGTCCAAGGATGGATGGTCCCACACTCACCCGCGGGCAGACTACTTCTCCAGTCTAAACTACTTCAAAAGCAATTACTTAGCTACCATACAGTGCGGAGTTCGTCGCTTTGCGTCAGCTCTAATCATGCTCTTCGGGTTCTTGGACGTGAAAGCAGCACATCAAATCATACACATTCCGACACAGATGAGCGATCAGCCATGCAATCCACTAACCACTTGACAGTAACTATCAACTACGAGGCAGGGTCAACTACTAAGCAATGCCAGCATGCACTAGAGCCACACATATCTCTGCATTTCACATCGCCACCACCCACCACTGACTTTCATTTCAGCACCCGCCACCGTCCATCACACACTTTGGCACGCCACCGCGGCCGGCTCACCTCTGCGATTCTGCAACTCCTGGTCGATCTCGGACATGATGCCGTCGCCGTAGGAGGCCACGATGTCGTACACCTTGTTCCACTCCTCCTGCTCGTTGAAGGGACTCAGAATGACCAGACTGGAGACACGCTGGTCAGTGGCGGCGTTGCCGGCGGACGTTCGACCCCGGCGGAGGACCAGGTCGGGCTCGCTGGCCCCGGAGGCCGCGGTCGTTGCCGAGGAGGACATGCGGACGTTCTCGTAGGCTGGCAGGGTGGTGGGTCTGTCGGGCCGGCGCGGCGCGGGCACCGGCACCACTGGAGCGTCGGAGAGGAGGCCGATCACTGAGCCGCGGTACAGGCCTGCCGCAGAACAGAGAGGAGATGCGTTAGATGATGGTGTAATGGGTAATAGGGAAATAACAGAACGAGAATGAAAAGCCAACGGTGAACATTAAGTACACTCGCGTGGTGGCATGGTTTTAGTTTTAACTAGCAATGACTCGAGACTCAAAGAATCGTATTGAACCCATAGTCTCTAAACATCAACCGACCCCCTGCAATACATGACAGCTGTGCCCGCCCACCCAGTGCCAACATATCGTGTCAATAAGCGACAGTTGCCGCCCATCAAACTTCATCAGACAGAAGAGGGCAGGACGAACAGTTCACATGAACCAAGATTACTTTACTACTCTGAACGTGCACTGTGTGAGTCTGGCGCCGACGGGCAGCTCAAGTGAGCCGGTCAGTAATGGTATCCCTATATTTTATGGCCTTGGGTGATCCCTTCTGCAGCAATATTCAGCCAAAAGGGTGCCTGTCCGTGAAAGGATACCTCTTGACATAAGTCACAAACACAGGCACTCAAGTCCTGACAATCACAGGCACTGGGTTATAACGGGTCAACGTAGCGGCAGACGAGCAGCGTATAGTGGATCGCAGGGCTGCCGGCCGCGAGAGCCTCGTCCAGGCTACCTCCCTACATTTTCCTACACCTCTATGACCGGCTATAACCTCATACCACCACTATACAACGGTCTACTAAGGATTTTATGTAGCGACGAACAATCGACGTCTCCAGGAATTCTCCAGATACTTTCCTTGTCGAACATTGTCTGAATTCAGAGCGTCGTCGCGGTGACCGCGATTTCCGCTATAGAGCTGAACATCGGCCAGGCTGACTGAGTCAGACACTCTGAATTGGAGTCTGAGTCAGCGAGAGACCGAGTACGCCAGCCCCGCCCCCTGGCACCAGAGACGGGTCTTTGACCGTAGACGAAACACTGGCACGGCGCGGGACCACACAGTCGGACCTTCTATTGACACAACACTGCCAAAGGCCGGCGGCCGATTCACCGCTCCAGTGCACCCTGCTGACGCTCGACTGCCGGTCGAGCTGCCGTCGTGGTGCACCACGCTGGCGCCGCTCACGTGCCTCCACGACCAATTGTGAGAGCCGGCAGACCAATAAGCCCGCCAGGCGTCACGTCCGAATCCGTGGCGACCACCCCGCCGCTGTCGAGCAGTGCCGCGATGACGACGCACTCTTTCTCTCATTCCCTACCGCGTACTGGCCTCAGAGGCTTCTCATCTAATACTTAGCACGAGAGCAATTGTGATGATTGTAAGAATTCTCGTAAATAACCAACGAGGCCAAAAACAACGCCATACGCCTGACGCCAGCCCGGCCATAGCTGACGAATAACGCTTGACATATTCCAGGCCATCTGTGAAACATCAGTTCAACCAAGCTAACCATTCCAGACTCAAACCCTCTGTCGGCCCTGAGGGTAGCAACAAACCGAACTCGCCCTGCGGCCTCTGGGCCTCTAAATCAGTACCAGACCCACTCCTCTTCGGTGGTGAACGAGCCTGGTGCAACAACCCCCCTCCCGGTAACAGGCACCAGATGCCCCCCCCCCCTCTACACCACCACACCGGAACCTGGGATCAGCGAACATCCACAAAGGCCTGGTCGGGAGCGGGGCGGCGGCAGGCGGGGGCGGAACGGGGGCTGATGCCGCACGGCACAGGCCGCCTGGTCTGGGAAGGAGCGGATATAATAGCTCACCGAAATGGTGACCGTTGACAGGCGAGCAAAAACAAAGAAGTAGCAGAATGTGATGAGCCAGCAGAAAAGTTTGGAGAAGAGCGCGAATGTAGCGCTTCGGCGGCTGGTAAAACGCAAAGTAGGGCGAAACTGACGATATATGTACGTCAAAGTTCAGATATTCGTTTTAAATTACCGCTTCTTCAACGCCAAGCTATCTTCTGTTTGGAAGCCGTATTGAGGCCAGAGAATAAACAGTGACGATATAATTGTAGAGGAGAGTCAACTGCACTAGACTTTCACCTAAGCGTACTTGCTACATCGCACAAATCACATCAATCGACAAATTTCGGTTCCACACTGCCGACTATACAGCTGAATGGTGAGCACCAGCCAGTCCTGATCCCCTCCTGCTGCCTACCTCATGCTCTAGGCCCGTGAGGAACCTCTCGCCGAGCTGGACAGCCTCCCTGGGCTGATTACACCACCGCTGCAGCCTGCAGCACACTCTGACTTTTCCTGTTTTGTTGAGAGCGTGTTCTGCAGAGTACCAGCCGAAAACAAACGCATTCCGCGCCGCCGCACAGGCTTACAACGAGAGATGTCCCGAGCATGTCAATACAGACAGGGTTCGATCCCATGCCACGGAGATTCACCACGTCACGGAAGAAGGATCCCCAGCCGTGACTTGTCCATCGTCATATCTCGTATGACGTCAGTGATTCTACGACAGGCGGCCGTCGGCACATGCTTTCACAGAAGACGCCGCGCAAACGGGATATCAGTGTTGCATGGTAAGTCTGGTCGGCTACATATGCTCGACCATATGCTGAGTGACAGCCACACCAAACAATGACTCTTGATGACATCCTGATGACATAGGGTGTCCGTCATCAGCATCCGTCAGCAGACGCGTCACCACTCAGTCATTGAACATGTTACCGAGGATGTCACCCTCCTTACAAACCAGCCCCCATCACTCGCCACCACCCCCGGGCTGGGGTTTTCAGCCGGACCACCCGAAACTGCCGCGTGTTGACCGACCTTCACCTCCCCCGACCCTCCCCCGGTCCCGCCCCACCCCCAGGCGGCGCCGGAGTTGTCCGTACGTGACCAGACTGACGGGCCGCCGGGCTGGGGTGGGCCCGAGTCGGCCGACGCCACAGCCACACCACACGGCATGGGTTGATGAGGTGATGAGGTGGTGACTGGTGAAGGGTGGGTGAAAACAAAGTACAAACCCTGATCATTTATCAAATCACATGAGCCTGCGATACTAAAAAGAAGTCACGTAAGCGTTGAAAGCTGTGGCTTGGGCATGGGGAATGCAAATTTATAAAATTTTGAAGACTAGCGGTTAGCACTCGGCGTAAAAATGTGATACTGATTACAATCGAAGCAAACGTGGAAATTCTCGCAACTGAAACTGAAAATGGTTCGCTTATAGCTCGAAACCTGTGAGTTAAATACATGATTTTCACGTATTCATGACATAAATGGCGTTAAATTAAGCATTATACCGAACAATGACCCAATCAATCGGTTCCTATTCATCCTTCACAGGGACACCGCCCGCCGTCACACAACGGTCACCTAACGGCACACCCACGCGCCGGGGTCCCTCGGGGTCACGGCGGGTCACAGGTCGCAGACCGCCCGCCGGAAACCAGAGGTCACAGGTCACTCGCTCGCGGCTCCAGCAGGACTAAAATGGTAGCCGGACAGCGGTATTTGGCTCCCAACCGGCAGGAGATTCAGGTCAGCCGTTGGTCATTGTCAGGAGCAAGGGAGCTAAAGAAAAGAGGCGACTTGAGCGGACAAGAATGCGTCAAAGAAACAAAGAATGATCACGCTGTGCAAAGAAAATCTCACCATTGAGATACATTGAAGCTACCCAGCGTGACGCTTATTTCATAATCCTTCGCCCAACCAAAGACCCAAACAGCCAATGCACAATTGTTCCCGGATAAATGATGGTATTGTGACACATAGGGCCACCGCAGATGCCACCGTCTGGTTGGCCACCAGAGCCATTTCTCAGGATCCATTCTCCAGACCAGCGCCCTCCCTCACCGCTGCCACAGCCGCCCGCCCGCCCGCCAGCCAGACGTTCAAATCTCCCATTCGTGCAGCGAACCGATCCATAAACCAAAACCACCGCACCAGTGCGATGTACACAACGCGCCAGTGCAGCCAACGCCCCCGGCCGACCGGACGTAACTCACAGGCCATTGTGGCATCATGTTTACGACGTAAAGGCTGTGGTGCCAGATGGAAAAACCGCACGTATCGCCTGAGTCGAATCGGTTGTTCACGGTGACTTTTGGACGAGAGAACGCCCCTGCAATCCGCCCGACCATTTGATCAGCAGTCTCGGGAGAACCTACAATCTAAAGCGAAACTATGGCTTTAAAGACACCGAGACAATAAGAGCAAAGCCGAGCATGTGTGACAGATGTCCCTGGCGGCCACCGAGTCCAGTGCAGCCGCCGTGAAAGTGGCCAGTTGCGTGCCGGCAGTCTGGCGACAACTGTGAAAGCCGTAGCTCATCGTGTCCCCGCGGCGTGAGCGTGACATGGATTCACCAAAGCAGGCTGCCGCAGTCAGAGAGCGTGAAGCCACCGGACAATGGGGCGGTCTATCGGGTTACTTGACAACACTGCGGCCTAACACATGCATTGTGTCGACGGCTATCACTAAACACTCATTCAAAGTCGAGAACAGCGACACCCTAATCTGTCCCACCCTTCCTCTTCCGGTGTCCCTCCGACCCTGACTTGAAAGCCGGTGACTTCGTTCCATTCGTAACCATGTTCGACCGAAAACTCCGCGGACAGACATCGCTCAAAATCGATCACGAAGACACGTGTCGGGCTGAGCCGCACCGGCATCACGCAACACACCGGCTGGCTGCAAGAAACGCACTAACAAGGGCTCCGAAGAAGACACTGAGAGTGACCTCAAACCCCGTTGAGTGGCGTGGCTGGGACGCCCCGGCCGTCCAAACGTCTCGGTTGTTCCGGACGTGGCTCTACTCGCGCTCAGACGATCTCAGTCCGATGGAGCATGTCAACATGCATTCTTACACGACACGGCGACACTTGCATCAGGATTTCCGATCAATCCTAAAAAAGCTGCTGAAGTCGTTCAGCAAAGAAAAGTTAAGGCGTTTTGAGAAGATGAACCGGACATTCAAGGGCCAAGAAGCTCTATGAAAACTAGCACTCGATGTTAACGGATGTCATGATACATTATCTGAATGATTGATCTGAATGCCACTAATTGGAATAACCGATACATAATGCAACCT